TCCTGCATCAGCGACTTCCCTACGAGTCAACCCCTAGTCAAAACCCCGAACCCATATTCCCATTCCCTGTTGCAGGCTCGCGAATTGGCATTGTGGCGGTAAGTTGTCTCAGTAAGCTAATTCCCCCCTGTCTTTTGCAAGGGGGTCTTAGCGGCATGCTGAATTCCCTCTCTCCTTTCTCGCCCTTTACCTCCCTGTCACAGTGTTGCACGGTGTCTCCGTCCAGTTGAAAAGCATTGCTTGTTGTCTCAGTTGGTCACGGTATGTATCAGTAATTGTCTTGCCTCTTTGCTTCCTCTAACGTGCCGTCTCTGGCGTTCTTTCCTGAAACTCTGTCTGTACAATCTCTTGAACTCCCCATTTCGTCAACTGACTTCTAACACATTGAACAGCTGCGCCTTCGCCGAGTTCTCTCTCTCCCTCTCTCTCCCGCTGTCGCGTCTTCACGTCTTCTCTTCATGTCGGATTGTCATGCTCGTGGTTCGCGTTGGCACGGCGCACTGCAGAGGCACGTCACGCTTGTGGAAAAGCCATCAGAAAAATGTTTTGGTATCAAAAAAACTTGTTGCTAAAGATCAAAAAACGTTTTGCGGATCAAAACTTTTTCTCGATCAACAAAAACTTTATGGTCGCAAAATGCGGCGCCGTCCTCACTTTTGGATTGCTCCGGCCATCCAAAAACTTTTATTCCGATCAAAAAGAAACTTTTTTTGTGAAATTAGGAACCTGACAAGGATCGCAGGGGTTTAGGTCGCTATCCTCCCAACTGTCGTCACTTTAGCCCCTCAGAACCCCTCAAATCGTGGGGTCGAGGCCACGATCCTCGTAACTGTCGTTTTTTTGGCGCCTCAGGATATCTCAAGTGTTTAAAAAGTGTCAACTGTCACAGGGATCGAGTGGGTCGGGGTCGCAATCCTCGTAACTGTCGTCGTTTTGAGATCCTCGGATCGTCTTGGAGCTTGAAAAGTGTTAGCAGTCGCACGGATCGTGGGAGTCGGGGTCACGCTCCTCTCGTTGCTTCAGCCCCTCAGAACCCTTCGGATCTTGAAAAAAAGTGCCAATTGTCACAGGGATCGCGAGGGTCGGGGTCGCAATCCTCGTAACTGTCGTCGCTTTGAGACACCCGGATCCGCTTGGAGCTTGAAAATGTTAGCCTTCCCTGACTGCCAACGGTGACGACACGATGCATGTCATTTCTTGCAATGATGGATCGCCTAAACAAGCGGGGGGGTTGGGAGGGGGGGAGCGCAGCCCCCGCCCATTTGCACAAAATGGGCGGCACAGCCTCCCCTAGCGCGAGCACAGATTTCTCTTACTGCCAACATGGTGACGAACCGATACTTGTCATGTCTTGCAATCATGGATCGGGGGGCTTGGGGGAGGCGAACCCCACCCCCATTTGCAAACAAAATGCGGGAGTTTTACCCTGGCGCATAGGGATCGGGATCAAGGGTCATTGTCCAATTATTTCTGTGGCTGTATAGAGCATTCAGCATCTAGGGTAATCAACGAAATAGAGCTATCCGCGCTAAACCCCGATCTAGGCCTGTTTCCATTTGATGTTCCAGTTTTTGATACTTGATTCTCCACCCAACAGTGGGCGGAGTCCAAATCCCTTCATAAACTACTTTCACACCTACCCAGCAAGGCCCCAAAGATACCTGAGTTGCGAAGAAAGTTTCCTTCCTTCCTTTCTTCCTTCCTTCGTTTCTTTCTTCCTTCCTTCCCTCCTTCCTTCCTTCCTTCCTTCCCTCTTGGTTCGTGCCTTGGTTCCTTCCTTCATTCCTTCCTTCCTTCCCACCCTGTTGTTTTCTGTGTCTGTATTTCACGTGGAAAGTTTTGTTTGATCCGTACTTTTTGTTGATCTGCCGTCCTTCCTTCTTTCCTTCCCACACTCTTGCCTTTGCTGGTCATGCTACTAACGGAAAGTTTTTTCTGATCCGGAAAAACTTGTTTGATCCGGAAAAAATTGATACGCAACCCACGCTTTCCTGGGTAGCCTATGTTAGCACAAATGCGGCGGCATCATGAGAGCCAACGCAAGGCGGAACACGCTAGCGAGCTTTGAGCGGATGAGGTGCGCCTGATGGAGATGTAGTTCATGTGCTTCCACCAGCTCGGCCACACACCACACGCGCGTGAATAAGGAAAAGTCGATTTCGAGGGCAACCACCTGCTCCAGCCGGACCTGCGCAGCAAAAGAGACAGAAACTTCATCACACGGCTGTTTCTCCGAAGGCGTGGCTCACTGCGCCTGAAAACCTTTTTCCCCTATTCAAACCTGGCTTTAAAGCACAAGCCCCTTGTCTCAAGACATGGCCAGGTCTGCGGCACCTGGCCCTCACCTCGCAGAACCTTCTTCAGGAAGGCCATCATGTCATCAAACTTGTTCATTTCCTTGACCGCTGGGTGGCTAGTTCAGAACCGCCCCCCAAGTTGTATAATTGGTCACAGCTGTATACGGAAAATGGACAAATTTATAGAAAGCAGCGACTAGGACACTGCTGTAGGAATCGAGGCAATGAAGTAAGGAAGTCTGGTAGCCTTGATGGCGATGGAGGCGTGGGAATGCGGCCGAAAGAACAACATGGTGTACAAAAGAATCGAAAAATGCCATGAGCAGCGGTAAGCACAGCTAGTGCACAACACTTGCCGCCGCCTGGCAAGTGAAATATAGAATCGAAACGACTGTTGCGTATGCCAACGAGAATTTGGAGGACCTTGACTTTATGATGATGATGATGATGATGCTGCTGCTGCCCCGATGCTGCCGATGATGGTGCCCACGACCGTGGTTTGCCCACGACCCCGATCACAACCACCATAATGAGGACCCAGGACGACAATGGCGACAAAACAAGAAGATGCTGTTGGCGATGATGACGAAGACGACGACCACAAGTGAGACTGGTCATTGAAGCCATGCCAAATAAGAATGACCCTGCTGATTCTGACACTATGATCAGAAGGACAATGATTGACGCAACAAATCAAGCCAGCGAAGCGGGATGTCATTGAAACAGATTGAAAAGTCTTCCTACCGGAGGATGATAAGCCTGGTAAGCGATTGTAGTTTCAGCTTCTGACGCCAGGCGGTTTTTCAGGACTCGTGCTCGTGCTGCTGCTGCTGCTGCTGCTGCTGCTGCTGATGACAGATAGATGATTCTTACCTTGAGGCCGCTGCTGATGCGCAGGTGGCACCTGATGATTCGTGATAATGGGTGATACGGGCAATACGAGTACTGTAGATGACGGAGGCGATGCTCCATGTCATTGGTGGCGCTCGATATCTGCGGTCGCGACTGTGTGTCGCTGCACGACTGTAGTGATTACCGGCAGCTGGCAGATGGTGACCCTGATGCAGATGAACATGTGATTCGTTGTCATATCAATCTCATCGTCCTCTTCAGCCTCGCCACGCCAGCCCTTGGAGCCCTCTAAACTCCCGATCCCACCCATCCTCGCCGGCCATTTGGATTATCGTACACGAAAACAAGCAAAAGCAAGCCCATATATTTGTCACGAGCAAGCGTTACACAGCTCCTGTTAAAGTATTAAGCACAGCATGGTATCTGATTGCGATCTTGCTTCGCTCAAGTCACCATCGAAGTGCTTCTGTGTAGCACAAAGGCAAGGGCGTATTTCATGGCCACTTGAGTCGACAGGAGGCGCTTGCGCACAAATTCCAGCATGCTGGTTCACTGAGAAAGCACAAACCCAGTAGCGAACACCAAGCTTTGATTTCTTGCTCAAGGCATCGGTCAGCTTGTCCAACTGGCGATGCTTGAGGAGCTGAGCTGTGCCATCGTACATTTCCACCTCCAGCGCATCTGCGAGGATGGCTGCAAGCAGATGGGTAAATTTGTTTCGCCAGCTGTGGGTGACCATCTTGTGAGCCAGGTATGGTCGACCATTGTTCACCACGGTGGCATAGGCATAGCCTTGGCAGCTTCCTGTCCCACCAGCCACTGCTTTGTTCTCGGCAGCTTCTGCAAGCACCCCACGTGAGGCGCTCAGAACCAGCTTTGGCGGCTTCCCAACCCTTGCTTTTTCCTCCATCTCCAAGGGCTCAAAGGAATCACCTTCTTGCTCAGCTGCTGTCAGCTCAGTTTTGGGGGCACCCTTTTGAGATTTCTGCTGTTCATGACATGAGAGCCGCCAGTCAGGGGAACTCATCAATTTGCCCATCGGTGGCGTATTACGAACAGGCAAAAAACACGCAAAGTAGCTAGAGCATGAAAGAAGATACTCCCATTACTTGATTGTGCGGGCTAGTCCGCAGCATGCTGTGGCAGGCGACAACAAGCCTTGGCCTTCTCGCTGTCGACCTTTGGACCGGGATCTGGAGTGGCTGGTCAGCCGAAGTGCCTGGCAAAGTCTGCAGCCAGTGGCCTTATACACCTCCTTGTACCCTTCTTCTGTTGGAGATGCGGGACCTGTCTGCTCTAATTTGTGCTTCAAACATGGGTGCTTCAGCAGGGAGCCCTTGTGCAGTTCGACGTCTGCCAATGCTGGATGGATACCATGTCCGTGGCTTGAGACTCCTGCAAGATCTTGCATGGTAGAGATGGCCCTTCATCTCCCAGAGGAGCCCTGAAAACCCGAAAGAAACAAAAAAACTTTTGCGGACACTTCGGGCCCCAGATAATTAAGGAGAATGAGGGCTATTGGGGCCCGTTGGGGCTGCTGCTGTGGCGGGTTGGTTCTCTGGCCTTCTAGACTGCGGTGCATGGGCTGAAACAACTAAGCAACAAATAATCTAACAGCACGTCCCTCCGTTTTTTCCTGGCCTCGGGAGGCTTCCAAGCCGCCCGAGCTTCATCTGGAGTCTCGTAGGCCATCAAGGAAACCTGAAGTCTGCTCAGTCTGCCGGTTGATCCTACGCCCACTTAAGAACTAGAACTCAGGGAAGACCCCTGGTGATGAATCCAGCTTCCTGTCATGCAGACGCAGCCATCCGAATGAATGCAGATCTTCCATCAAGGAGCATAAACCTTGCCACCTTCTTGGGCTTCGCTGAGATCTATTTCTAGCTCCTCACCTCTTCCATGCCAACAACTGGACACCTCGGAGGCAACGATTATCAGTTTTCGTCCTGTTGCCATTGGCTTATTCAAGGCTTCAAATTGCCGTCTGCTGAGCTTGGCACCAAAACGTCTGCATTACCAAGCGGGTCATCACTTGTGGCAATGTCATGGTCCCAGACACTGAAGTGCAAGCTCTCATGGTGTAGCACATCCTGCGGAATGTGAGAATTGACGCGACCCTGAATGCAAGCCGGAGCCTGCCAGAGGCAACCGAGATTACTGACATACGAGTACAACAACCTCAAGAAGCCAAAGATGTCTACCCGATACAGACTATTACGAATACTGCGCCGACTTCATGAGATGCACCCCGCTGCAAATTCACCATAGCCTCCACCAAGAAGGATTCTTCCCAAACAGGGTTCTGGTTGTTTGAGATGTGGGCTGTGCGTCCGCCACCTTTCCACGGCTTTGCCAATGCCTCTGGACCTTGCCCTCGCACTGACACCAAACAATAAGGGTCCGATGATGACAAGAGATCAAGTGCTGCAAGGCCAGTTGCACGGTGCACCACCACAATGAAGCTGCGCGTCTCCCTGAAGTGAAGAGACTGTGGAATGATGGCTTGTCGAACAACGTCATGTGTGGTGGACTGGTCAGGGTCGAAGTGCTTCATCACCTCACACCCGAGGTCGGCATAGAAGTCGAGCAACTGCCGGATAGTGATGCCCCTCCCTGCCAACTCCTGCACCTTGCCAATCCAGGTCTGGGAAGCTTCCTCAGGCCTTGAGTGCGCAGCATCTGTTCCATCCGAGAGCAGCTGCAGATCCAGCCCCATTTTCTTTGGTGGCACGATCACATCCCCACGCGCACAAGCACTCAGCTCAGTGCCCAAGCTTGACAACAAGCAGGCTAGCAGCGGCACAATGAGAAATTTCCGCAGAAGCACAACGCCGAACGTAAAAAGCCACTTCGGCTCGTCCACCTGGCATTGAACCAGAATTATCCGTCCAATCTGTGACTGAATTTAGACCCGTGGAACAAAACGAACAAAAGCAGAGACCTTGCGAAACCTGCGCCTCGGCCAGATTTGCCAGGAAGGCTGCAACCACGACCAGGTGCAATCCTGAAAGAGAAAAACTGAAGGCCCAGAAGCCAAAATCCTTCAAACGCCTCAGGCGAAGTTGCCAACGTCTGGCAAGCCAGCTGCGCTGCACAAAGCTGCGTTGAGCCAGGTGGACTTCTAGACTGCGCGGCACGAAGTTCAGCAACACTGAGAGCATTGCCACAAATGTGTACCACAAGAATGTTCCCTGCTCAATAGGGCAGTCTGCAGGGCTTCTCGCGGCCACGGCAGTGCCATCGACAGAGAAGAACAAAGCGACGAAGGCCTCAGTGGACTCTACTTGTCATGTAATACTTGTCATGTAATGTTGTGATCAGAGGGCTAGATTTGAGTTTGGGTCAGCTGTGATAGGCTCCCATGAGTGTGATACCTCATAGAGGCTTCTGTAGCTAAGCCATCGGCCAGCGATCCAAGCACGCAGTCCAGCATGATCTTGGCTCGTTTGGCTGCCGTCATGTGCAGGTCTAGCATCCCCAGCTCGTACACCGGGTGCGAAGACACAACCGCAGCACGCAACCGATGGCAGCGAGATGTGTGGACCCTGACAAAAGCACGAGGAAGACCCTCCTCCAGCTCCAGGGCCAACAGCTTGAGTTTGGGAGATCTTTGTACTGCGAGGCTGCCTTGAACCCAACCGCTCCGACCCCAGATGTGGGTTTGGATGGAGCTGGCATGTATCTTATGTCGACGGGCTACCTCCCACAAAGTATTGCGGCAAAGCACACGCTCCTGCAAGCTGGATGTCAACTGAGGCTTGAGTCGTTGTAGCATGTCATTCCTCAACTGTAGGGCTTGTGCCTCCGGCAATTTGGCCTGAAGCCATGACATTTGCGACAAGACAGAGTGGAGGCTGCTCTGCGAGGGTCGGCGTCCCCGCGTGGACGTTGCCCGCTCCTGCTCTTCTGCCCTGTCACCTGGGCTGTCTGCCGCTGGGCTGTCTGCCGCCGGGCTGTCTGTCAGCCTGTCTGCCGGGCGGTCTGACTCTGCAGCTTCAGGCATACTCCCCTCTTTGCTCCCCGGCACAGCGGAACCGCAACATCTACCGAGTCGAGCAAGACATGCTGACCATGACCCGCCACCTGCAGGGGGCAGGTCTGTGAGAAAGTATTCATCCCGCCAAAGACCGGAGCGATAAACCGATGCGTCGCTGAGGGCGCCAAGCGCCATCAGGAGCAGCGAGATGGCAAGCAGCAGCCACAGCCCAAGAGCTGGGGGCCTGCTCCACCATCCAGGTCGCTCTACAATTTCTTTCAGCCCATCCTCAGAAAGCAAATTGGCATTCCTGAGATCCACGGAACAACATCTACAAGCAAATCCCTTTCAAACTTGCATCTCCGTGCATTCCCTACCAGGCCCTACAACATGTTGATTAGGGCCAGCGAGGCACGTGCAGTCCAGAAGGATGTCGATGAAGGCACCAAAAATGGAAAGGTGGAGCGTCGCGCACCAAACGCCAGTTGTGTCAGCCACAGCCCCGAAGGCAACCTCCAGCTCCTCTGCAGTCGCTAGGCGCACGCCCTCTCTGGACCACTTGTCACCATCTAGAAATGCGCAGACCCAGCTTGGGTCCGGCGCTTCTTTGGCAATGCGCACATATATTGGGGTGCTCACACGCACCTCCATTGCACTTAAGCTTTGCGTGTCCACAATGGACACATCCACAGCCGGCACGGCCGTTTCCAGCGGCTGCCCGGCCGCTGTCTGCATCTTGCGCCCGCGGCTGAGGCTTTCAGCCTGCGGCCCGTCGAAGGTGGTGAGGACAAGCGCCGCATCAGCCGGGATACCAGCTAAGGCCTGTTCAAGAATGGCGGCTAGGTTGAGACAACACGATTTCCTCCGCGCCTCTAAAGGCAGTACCGCAGCCGCGGGGCTGTTTTCAACTACCGCAGCCACGACTGTGGCATCGGCCGCATCAGGCAGCCTTCACAATTACAGGAAATGCCGTCCAGCTAGACTCTCAAACACAAGTCATTTGACCGGGCCCAAGGCTGGACAGCTGCCATAGTTCCAAGGAGGGTCTCTGCAGTCACGCTGGAGTTTCCTGAGCCCGTCATCTGACCTCAGGAAAACTGTTTGGCAACGCGTGCTGCCACAAAACACCCTGCTCGTACCTGAATACTGGTGCCACGAGAAGCGCACGGCCGACTACACTAAATCCAACTGATTCTGCAACGCAGCACTGGGCCCTTGCAACACCTCAGCTACCTAGCTCGGCTGAGCCCACTGCTGAGCAAAGAATTGGTACTGCCTTGCAGTTGGCTCTTCACTGCCGCGGCGCTGCTCGCAGCGGTCAAAGTGCTGGTGGAGCCAGTGGTGGTGCCAGTGGTGGAGCCAGTGGTGGAGGTGGTGCCAGTGGTGGTGCCAGTGGTGGAGCCAGTGGTGGAGTCAGTGGTGGAGTCAGTGGCGGACTGGGTGGTGCTGATGGTACTGCTGAAGCTTAAACTGGAGCTTGTGCCCGTGGCTGTGGTTGACAGGGTTGTTGTGGCGGTTGTGTCAGAGACTGTGCTGCTGCTTGTGCTACTTTTCGTGGTGCTGCTCGTGCTGGTTGCGGTGCTGGTACTAGTGCTGGTGCTGCCACTGCTGGTGGTGCTTGTTACGCTCGTACTGCTGGTACTGCTGCGTGTGCCTGTCACGCTGCTGGTGGTGCTTGTAACGCTGGTACTGCTGGTACTGCTGCTTATGCTGGTACTCGTGGTGCTGCTCGTGGTGCTGCCACTGCTGGTGCTACTGCTCGTTGAAGCGGTGCTGCTGCTTGAACTTGATGTTGAACTTGAGGTGCTGCTGCTGGTCCTGCTGGTGGATGAAGTACTAGATGTACTGGTGCTCGAGGTGGCCGTTTGACTTGTGACTGTTCTGGTAGCTGTGCTGGAAGTAGTTGTCGAGGTTGTCGAGGTGCTCGTAGAGCTGGCGCTAGTGGAGGAAGAGCTGAAGCTTGTGGAAGTGGTGCTGGTGGCATCCACATCTATACTAAAGGTTTCACTGAAAACCACGAAGCTAATCGCCTCGGCCGTATTATGCGCTCGCTCACTGCTACATGATCCGCGCTCCAGCTTGACTGAAAGGTTCTGCACCTCCACAGGGCAATGAGCAAAAACTAGGCATTGGGTGTTAGCTTTTGTGCCAACAGACTTTAGCTGTGACGCGACAGCTGCCATGGCAACCATCCCGCGCATGTACCAGAACGATCTGCCAAAGGGGTTTTTGGGGGCTCAGGACGGCTCTGTGCCTCCCAGTCCACGGTGCCGGAGGACTCCGCGATGAGCTCCAGAGTTTCGATGGCATCCCATGGGATACTTCCAACGTATGACACGCTGGGGTTCTCTGCCAGGGGTACTTGTACCGTCTGCCACTGGCCCAACATCGGTTCGTAGTGAGCGGGAATGTCTGTGACCATCACTGCTGCCTCAAGATTTGCACCTCCCCAGCGTACTGCCTTCAGGCAGCTCAGAGCCTGGCAGCGGAGGTCCACTGTCAGTGAAGCCTTGTCTCGAAAGACTTGGAGATCTGGGTCCACAAGGTCTGTCGCGTTCACAGTTGCAAGGCTGAATTTTCCCACACTCCCGTTGCTGTCGGCGAAAGTTGCTTCCAAGGGACCAGAAGCCAGCGAAATGCTGAGACTGAAGCTGCTGACCTGTAGGCTGCAGTGCAAAGAGCGGAAGCAAGCGACTCAACACAAAAAAACCTACGCACACGTGACGCACAACAGTCCTGGACCACCCATCTGTAGAAATCCACATGCTATCACATGCTTGTTGTGTCTGGGGGCTGCATTCTCGGTCTCGTCAAGTCTAAAATGTGCTCCGGTACTATTGAGCTTATCGGTATCGTGCCGCAACCAGCCGCCGTCTGTTCCAGCACGTGTAGTCAGACTTCCCACCACTGGAGGCCTGTTCCAGAACGATGAAATGTCGGACGATGACAGCTCGAGGCCAAAAGGAAAGTGTTGTCCTCCGTCAGTCCATCCCATGTTCTTCACCTTGTCAGAGTTCACGACTGCATAGGGAATCTGGCGCGAGGCGGTTGAGGGTGATGCAACAACGTATTGACAAATCTCAAAGGTGGAGGCATCCAGCAGAGTCCACTTTTGACTCCGCTCCCAGCCCTCATCGCCGCCGTCTTCCCGTACAAGCTGCAAAACGCCGTTGTCATCTGTCAGGTGGCGCTTCGTCCCACTCCTGAGAGAGACTTGGCCACCGTCCGCCTGGATAAGTTCCCATTCATATTGTGATGCGTCAAGGACCAAGTTGTTGGAGGCATCCTCGATCAGCTGGACTGACCTATGGCTGGTGAAGACTACGTTGCCATTAGACAAAGCGGTGGTCCACTGCACCCAATCACCAATCTGAGTACCCACACCCAGCTCGAGCACCCCGTCGCTGTCTCGAATGTGCCCCCCTTTCCAGCTGCGCATGATCAGAGGCTGGCCCACTTGGCATTCTTTTCTTGCAGGGGCAGTTATTTGCCCAGCTGATGTTTCGGCATCGAAGGCTATATAGCCAACCGTCTCCGCCACATGCACCTGACCGTCGAAGCTCTTGACAGCATCCAGAGCTAGGCGCGCTGAAGACGAAGTCAAGGAAGAAACGGCAACCACTAACCAAGGCACAGATGGTTGATTCGATTCGACATTATTTGCGGTCTGCAAGTCAGTCAGCAGGGCTGGGGAGCTTCCAAAGTTGTGGATAAAGCGTAGCTCCTCCCAGCCAAGCTTGGGAAAGTCTAACGGTCTGCACTTTGCAGCCTGGCGCTGCAAGGTTTCTACAAAGCCGGCTTCAAAGATGCGTCCGTCTGGCAGCTTGTGCACACCGGGAGATGCTGCCAGGAATCTCATACCCATAGCAGAATGCATGCCGTCTTCTGGGCGGGGCTCCGTGAGACAAGCCTGAAAGGACGCGTTTGTGATGCCTTTTAGGCGAATCTTTCCTGGATTCGACCCGTCTTCCGTGGCCATTGCCACTACTACGGGGACCTCAGCAAATTCCTCAGCAAAGTGATACGACTGAAAGCAGGCATTCGCACTTCCCTGTATCATCACGTTCCCCACTTCAAGCTTGGCGCCCTCTGCGTAATGGTGCAGCGGGCATGCCAGAAGCGCCAGACGCAAGACGCATCCCAACATGGCTCCTCTTTGGCTAATTGCCTCTTGCTACTTGGTGGCCTTGTATGGAAAAGCTTGTCCTACAATTCCTACACAAGCATGGCTGTGGTTCAGTATTCCTACACAAGCATTGGTGCTGACAGCGTGGCAACGGGAATCGCACTGCAGGTGGCGTTGCCAGATTGTCGTTGAGTGTGAGCAAGGTCATACCCCAACCACAAGAGCGAGTGAGTTGTTGGTGTGTCCATGGGGGCTCAAACCACCAAGGCATTGACAAACGTGAAAAACCTGGACAAGAATCCACCAGGCAGTGGCTGAATAGCTCTTATCTGCTTCGAGTGGGGCTTGAAAGGGACTGAAGTTCGAAAAGCTCTGGCCTATGTGCGTACTCCACACCTAGAGCAACGCATAACCAGGCCAGACAACAAATGAGCACCGAAATTGGGAAAAGTGTAACCGGCCTCTCCAGATCTCCATGGCTCTTGGCGGTTGTTCGTTACACATTACGGAAGGCTACCCCAATGGTTCTGACTAGCTATGCTAGCTGAGCCCACAATTACCACACGCCTACCTCGGGCAACAGCAGTGCTTATGCCAGGTGTGAGCTACATAGATACCAAGCGAACCAAGAGCTAAGAAAGAGCCGGACCATATCCAATGCATGCTGCATATCAGCTTGGGCTCTTGGAGCTTGCAGAAGCACACATGCGAAGAACACCGATCACATCCCCCTGCTGTTTGCCCAGCGCGACTGCCACTCAGGGCTCCAGCAAAGACCGGTAACACAAGCAACAGACTGGCACTCTTGTCACATGCGTTCCTGAAGCTCCAAACAGTGCTCAACAAAGTGAACTAGTTACAAACATTTGAGGATTCACCGCTGGGGGAAACAAAGTCAGTCCACTGCGTGTCTGGTTCAGCCCAACTCTATATGGGATACGCATGTGCCATCGATACTGCGTGCAGAGAACCACCGCACAAAATTGAGATGATTCCTTTCCATGATTTCTATGCGTCTTCGGCGACATGATCGCTTACCTTGTGGTGCATAAACTTGTGATATGTGGAGGGTGCTCTTTTGTAGGACTGGTTGCGATCGAGACGCCTCTCCCAGTTCCATGACCCCCAAGTCGTGACCCTTGAATTTCAGAATCTTGAGCTCAAGCTTCTGTCAAACAGAGGCGGCAACGAGTCTCTGGGAGCGCAGCTGGCAAAGCTTCATCTAGCTTCACGCCACAAGGCCCTTTTCATGCCTCTGCAGCCTCCCTCGCTAAGCTCATGTCCAGCTTCAGCTTGTGATGGCTGAAGTGGCTGGCAGAAGACTGGCTTCATGGTGTTGAAGCGCCTCACTCAAGAATATGCCTTCTTCTCCCGGCTGCAACTGCTGCTTGCGTCTCCGAGTTTCTATCTTGCATTCGAGGTTCGCTAAGCAACGACTGGCCTATCAAGTTGATTTCTTGCTCGGTACATGATCACCGCATCCGGATGTTGAAGTGCAATCCACTTGTTCACTTCCCGCCACCAACGCCCCGCAACATGAAATACTGACTAGCCAGAATCCCAGCTTTCGAGAAATTATTCCATAAGGAGCGCAAATCGCCAAGTTATGAATCCAAGAGAAGCGCTACATCAGCAGCTTCCTCGGAACTCAGAATCTTCTCTCGTAATGTCCGTATTCGAGTGGTACCTCCCCTGTTATCAAATGCAGGTATCCAGTACAAACGCCCTAGACATTTCGGAGGGCGACCATCTAAAGCCCTTGCAAGTGAAAAGCCAATGGGCTGAGTGGCAGCAGAGCTGTAGCCTTGCACTCGAAGTTCGCTTCACCGTCAGCAGCATGCTGCATCAGGATTCCTTTCGGGGCGGGCACGTGGGAAGGGAGAAATCAGTAACCTACTTCCTATACAGCATCCTGTCAGCCCCAAGCCCTCGTTACGGGTAAACCACTCCAGGTGAGCTGAGAGAAAGGTCACTCATGCAGCCCGCTCCTCGCCAACCTGGCCATCATAGCACACGCCAGCATGCAAAATTTCTGGGATCAACCCTCTCCCAAACATCCCTGGTTCATGCCTCCTTCTGCAGCAGCTGTATCAGATCCGGATTTGAGAATAAATCCATCAACTCCTGCCAACGTCAGAGCTTCGACTCCGAAAGCTACAAACTTTGTGGGCATTGCGCGCTCCTTGCTCGACATTCCATCACCGCCCTCCTCTTCTTTGGCTTCCACAGCTGGGGCCTGCCAAGCTTTGACCATGTTTGGAAGAAGTTGGCTGGCTGCATAAGCCTACCATTCGCTAAGCCCAAGCCAGAAGGACACTATCCAAAAACGTTAAATCTCAAACAATCCTCGGAAACTCGCAGAGAGCGAAAGAGACTGCATATGGTGTCCCAAGGCACAAGACTATGCCCCAAGGCTCTAAGGATTGTAAACAAAAAACAATCCCGTTCAGTGGGCTGCACATCAGTCTGGTCAACTTAAGGCCTTCTCTTCTGCTGGAGCCTCTTTTGCCACAGGTTGGGCTTCCTGGGGCTCCTCTCATGGAACATGTTGCCAGATTTGTTTTTCGACATGTCCAAAAGCTTCGCGAGCGAAGCAAAATGACTTGCACAGCCTATGTAAGGCTTGCTCCACGGGCTGCAGTATTTGGCGCAAGCCCGTCTCAGACAACATTGACATGCAGCACCAGGGGTCATTTTTCCTGACGCGCGAATGAGCGTTGTATTGAATGCAACAGACAGACTGATCCGCAGTCCCGAGACAACTTAGCAGGGTTATGGAACTCAATTGGCTAACCTACACTTGAAATGCCTGGGCATGCTTGAGGTCAACACACCAGCTACCCTGCAAAGCAGAAATGAGGACTACGCAGGCAATGGAGCGGCATGTTGAACACGAAAGGGAAATGCGGTGTGGCAAGATGTTGCCACAAGGCACCTCTGGAGGAGCCACGAAAGGTCTCAGTGGACTGAGCTCTCGAGTAAACGCTGGCCTGATGCCAATTCTTCTTAAATGACTTAGGCTGGACATGCCAGCCGATGAAATGTTTGGTGGTGCCTACTCAGCATTCGAGATGGCCACGGCCACGAGTATGGATTGATGTCATTCAAGCAGCCCATAGAATGCCATAGAAGTGAAGCAGGGCTTGTGCGGCATCTGCTGAGGCATGGGAGGAAACCAAACTGAAAACTTGCCGCGCGAGCGCAGTCTCGCACATTAAGTGTGCAGACGTGGTTGGGATTCAAAAAGTAGCTGCTGCTTTCCAACAACCGACATGTCCTTTCTCAGAAGCAAGCGTTGCCACGATGAGATGCAAGAAGATAGTGCTGCTGGCAAACCACATCTGCATATATTGGACACATAAAACCTCTCAGCCCTTGGGCCCTGGGGCAGGGCACGCAGAAAAGGGTCTATGCGTCCCGGATTCCAAAGCCATTCCCAAGGGCACCAGACCCCCCTGCAGACGCCAACACTTCCTGAGGCAAAGGACGGGCATCTGAGGATGGCGTTTGAAGGCTCAAGGCTTAAGGGCCGTCATCATACAATTTTGGAGGTTACATACGACAAGTACACATTGTGGCAGCAAGTCCTGCAAGTTCTGTCTAAAGGGAAGCCGTGCAAAGCACCACGGCGTTGCACGAATGAAAACAAACTAATGAAATTACCCGCATGTTGAGCTAGCAGATCTAGCTGCTCGCATGCGACGCTCTATGCTTCATGTTCCGGGGTGGCTTCAACCTGCTTGGCCCTCTGCATGCTGCCCAGCTTCAAGAGCCTGTCGTTGCCACCAGTGAATAAGAACCCGTGCTCAGGGCAGAGCACTATGGAGACAACACCTCATGCCATGCTCAAAACCATTTACATGCAAAAACAAGCAGGTAAAAGCCCAAGTCCAATGCGAAGCAAAGCACAGGCAACTTCGCATTTTCTTGATGGACGTTCAAATGCCCACGGCAATTTTGAAGCCAAAACACCTCTGGAGTGCGCACCATCCAGCACCAACAGGGGAATCAGCTGCGGCTCAGCGTAATGCCAGATCGAGACAGAGCCTCCAAGCGAATGGAGGTCCAAGTTGCAATTCTCACGTAGCGCCAGACTGTAAGACACTTGGCGGCGTTTCAGGTTGCAAAGCTGCTGCGCTAGAACAAACCTAAAAAAATAAATGCCCGCCCGCCTGCTGAGCCACAACCAAAGAGCAGACCTCAATCTGCTGGAAGCGACTCAGAGCAATTCACCAAAAATTCTCTCAATGTTCTGTTTGTGGTCAGAACCCTATAGCTTGCTCTGGGAACATTTTGAGGTGCTGCTATATATCTCTCTTAGCATGCATGCTGCCTCCAGACTGCCGGTAGCGGATGGCCGTGATGGATGCAGACCTCACCAGACCGGCTTGGAATTCATGGAATTTGGCGGCGTGCAGCTTCACGCAGGAGGCATACTGCCTTCCAAAGTAAAGGCAGCCAACCCTGCTGTCATGCCGGCTTCTTGAATCATGTGCCACCAAACCTGAAGCCAATGTTCGATGACGAGCGGCTTGCCAAAGGGCTCAGCCAAGTTCAGAACTTGCTGCATGGAGCTGGCAATCTTCCAAACTCGGATGGAGTGGCAGCCAGTAAACACCTTAGGTTGAGCAAATGTCTCCCAGCCATGACTACCATAGGTTCACTGCTTCAAGCCTGCGGGGGGTGCAAAGATACGGATTTCCAGGTTGGCCGCAGGGGAGTGTAAAACTGTCAAGGCCTGGCAGATCAAGCGTCCAGGAGATAGTGCAACCGAATGGAGGTTATCACAACCACTGCCTTTTTTTGGGGGACACAGGAACGGGGGATATCACAGCCAGTTTATACGAAGACAATAAACCAAGAGCGTCAACTCACAAGTGTTCCCTTAAGCAGACAAAACCAATCAGAACAGACGGCTGGTTGTGACATGTACCATCTACGTCACTGCGTCCTAAAGATGGGGTGTTGGAAGACTTTTGATGTAGAATGAGATTTCTTATGTGCAAGACACTATATAGCTATACGTATAATGGGGCCTTCTTTTCTTTCGCGCATTGATGTCCAGAATAACCAGGCCTGTAGCAATGAAGCTTCACAATGCCATAGAAGAATCAGGAGGAGGCCTGAAACCTACTACGTGGGCTTCAAGAATTACCAAAGTCATTGGAGTTTCATCCCAGGTACCCGATATTGTAATCCCACAGAACTCTTCTTCAAGAAACCTAGGACCTAAATATCGGTAGTTATTGGAGATGGAACGTCACCATACCGCGAATGCTGATCCATCCACAACATCCCTTTTTTTTGGGCGGGAAGCGAATGCGTATTCTACTGCTCCATAACATGTTTCGTTTTGGGGGAAGTGAGCGCATGTTGTACAGCTCCATAACATGTTTCTTGAGGGAGAACGAATGCATACCGTACTGCTGCAAGTTGTATTTGTTTTCGATGGAAAGCGAGAACGCATTGCACTGCTACATGGCCAAAGCAAATGCGTGTTATTTCCCGTGTCCGTGCCTACCACTACTTGTCTTTGTGGCCCAAAGGAAACGAATACATTGTCTTCCTCATGCACCTACAACACATCGGGAGAAAATTAGAACATCCTACTGGAAGCCCAAATGATGCAAGTTTCCCATAGAAAATAAGATGAACATGAACATATGCTATTCAATGACTCAAGCTGCCTATAAGAAAACAACATGAACACATCCTTTTGGAAGCCCCAACCGGATCCAGTTACAATATGCTATTCCCAAGTTTGGTTGTGCCGCTATCCGCTATCCACTGTTCTAGCTTGGCTCTCCCAGTCGTACTATCAACTGACTTGGTTGTGGTATTCAACTGCGGGTTGTGCTCTCTTCTGATCTTAGCAGATGACCCAGAAGGTTAAGGAAGATAGGGGCCTGCGGATCCAAGACACCGTGCTTGATTCGCCATCAAACTGAAGGCAGTTGATCACATTCACCTAAGATACCAACTGCCCGTTCCTTGGGAGGGCCTGTGCACTTTGACCTCTACGAAGCATGAGAGCTGCCAACGCATCTTCTCATAGGTCCAGTGGCGTGTGCCTCCTCGACTTTATGGAGTAGACGGAAAGTTTTGCCTGCAGCAGCCAACACTGCACAGTTAGGCGACATGTCGCCAGCCTAGGAAAAGCCATCATCCCAACAGATTCCGAATGTTGAGCGAAGTTCAGCTCTGCTGTCTACCGGAACGGTTGGCTTGCCATCTCCGTAGGCTTGTCAGAATTTTGTGCGCACTGCCGGGTTTCAGCAAATACGCGCTGATCGCGAGGAGTGTCGACTATGCTCTGCTCCAATCTGCACATCGAGAAGCAGCACGATAGCACAGACTACAGCGCGCATCTTCACGGGAAGCATAACGTTGCGACCCAGCAACACAATGCCCTGCCTGCAAGCTCCCAAACACTTAAGCCCCGATCTGCACTTGCCGCTACCAGACGGTTCGTCTGGCTGTGGCAAGAGATGACCTTGGCAGAACCCTGCAACCTTCTCCGCTAGTCTTAAACCCTGTTAAGGGTGCGCCTGCGGCAGGCCCCGAGAAGGTGCTGACATAACACTTCGAGGTATTGTAGAGAATCCTCGTCCGCTTGGTGTAAATCAGCATGATTGCTACCACAGACTAATGTTTCAGAGCTGTCCCGGCAATCCAAGCCGCTATGCTACCTGAGTACTGGCTGCCACGTGCTTTCCTTCAGGTGCCATGCCCTACATCCTGACATGCAGAGGACACTTGGGACACAGTCTAGAGCCAGCACAACAACTTGGTTCACGTGGCATCTGGCTCATCACATACAAGCCCAGCGACCCAGCGCACGCATATAACGATATGTGTATGTATATATATATATCTCTCTCTCTCTCTTTCTTTCTTTCTTTCGTTCGGGCTATGGGAGCAGGGTGAACCCGCCCCCGGGCTTCGCCGCCCAGCCCGTGTTGGGCTGATAGGATTGTTTATCCCTCTTGGTTTCCGAGGAGGCATTACCAAATTA